AAATGTGATGCCCGATTCTAGATCAAGAGAAGGTGCACAATTAAGAACTTGATCATTTTGATGGCAACAGCCTAGTAGACTATAGCAAAAGCATTAAGTACTAGATACACAGAGTTCAGGTATTTATTCTCAGTCAAGAGATATTTTCAGCAATTCGTGCATCCATTCCAACAGGATTTCTTAAACATGGGCATGGAGTCACAGAAACAATCAGACTAAGAACTTCCTACGTGTGCTAAGACCTGCCACCTTACTACTGCTTTTTGCAGAATTAAGAGTCAGTCACGTTGCTCTCCGCTCTGAAGAATATTCCAAAGAGCATATCAACAAAAACAGGGCAAGAAGATTTATGCTACCAGAATTTTTTTCCCAAGCATCACAATGAGAGTATTGGCAGTTAAGGACAGCCTGCACTGAAATATGGATTAAAATACTTGAAGAGACTATAAATAATTTTACTACATCTATCTTTACCAGTGCTTTGTTTGAGGACCTCTTCTTACACATCTGCAGAATAGAAGCAGAAGCACAGTATTGATCTAGAAAGGGTAGGATGCAGCCCTCAGGAAATTCAGTTATTCCAATAGGCTTTAGCTCCAAAACCTTGTTAAAGCTGTCTCATGCCATTCTTCAAACAGAAATGTCTATTACTTAGCCTCGTCAAACTGTTAATTTCTGATTCTCCACGTTGACTACAGACGACCTCAGTGGTCTTGTACATAAGTGACAAATATCATTTGTGAACCACTCACCTAAGTATCATATTATTGTCCAAAATGACGTTACTGAAGTTCTCATGCCTAACATGGAAATCTAGCTTAATGAAGGCAGGTGAACTGCACACCAAAATTAAGAATAAATATTTATTCAAGCTGTTCCTTTCAGTCTTTTCCTAGTGTATCTACTGTGCTGCTCTATGTTACAATGAATTCTAGCACACACCATTTTAGAACTCAGAGCACTTCAGAGATCCTGTTTAAAACACAGCCATGCTAGAACTGCAGTGCCACAGTTGAACAGCCAACTGAAATGCAACAAGGAGTAGAAAGAGGTAGCAGCATTGCAAACTATCCATACCATCACATAAACTGAAGCACTCCTCTCTTCCCCCAAAAGGTGAGAAAGCTCATTTAAAACAGGCAAACCAACTTCTACCATCCTTTGCTATCTACGGTGGGGATTCCCCTCACTAGTATCAAGGCAAGAGTGTATGTTCATGATAGAGAAGTGGGAATTCCAGTCACCATAGCTGAGACTACCATCCAGACAGTCACACTAGGGTGGCAAGAGCCTAGCTGCTGTGCACTTCACAAGCAAGCTATCTGAACAGAAGAGCAGATCTGCTTCTGAACTGCAACCAAACTGTACAGGCAACAGGCACTCCAAGTCCCCTAATAGAATATTCAGTCCAGCATTTACAACCTAGATCAGATGTTCCCAAGGAATAGCACACTCTGAAGTAATTGTAAACTATTCTTGATATAAAGATAGCTTATTTCCACCTTCCAAATCTGTCCAAGCAGAAGCTTTCTCCCAGTCTGCAGGAATGTACACCTTCAGACTTCAGAACATGCACTTCCAGATCAAAATGTAAAAAGAAGGGGAGGGCTACTCTTATGAATTACAGGATAAAACAGTGAGCTGAAGACAAAGACAGGTGATCTGTGGCTGGCATACAAGTTTGGGGAAAAAGAACATAAAACATTTAACAGGTACTACTGGAGATGTGACTCACACAGATTAATAAGAACACCTTTTGTTGTTGTTGTTTTTAAATTAATACTATAAACCTGTGAATCTACTCATATACCTAACATTAATTCCACCCAGTTGAGAGACACTGGACATTCTCCACTCATGTCTCTTAAAGAGGGGCAATTAGTCCAGAGTTCAAGGTGCAAAAACCACAATGAGATTTTTAGCTTTTTTTCTCCCTGAAATAAAAAGAGGAATAGTATTGAAAACAAGCCTTCTTTTTTCCTAATGGCTTAAAGAAGCACTCCAAGAAAGATGTACAGTCAAATAACAAGATGCCACTGATCAAATACTTGAAGAAAAATAATCGAAGGCATTCATTTTAATTAGATGTCCAATACAGATTTATTTAAATAAACAAAAGAACTCACAAAACTATGAGTATCTGATGGACAAAAACTAAAACGCTTGGGCAAACTGTCACTTTGACAACATAACCTCAAAGTCATGGGATTCAAAAAAGCTATAAATTTGGTCCAAAACACGAGCTGATACAGTAGTGAATGGACTTAAATCCAGCTGGAGACTGGTCGCAAGTGGTGTTCTCCAGAGGTCAATAATAGTCAGTCCTTAACATCTTCATTGATGATGTGGATGAGGAAACTGAGTGAACGCCCAGTAAATTTGCAGATGACAACAAGTTGGGGAGAGGTGTTGGTCTGCCTCAAAAAAGAAAGGTCCTACAAAGGGATCTGGACAGACTGGATTGATGGGTTGAGGCCAATGGGATGAAGTCCACGGAATCGTAGAATGGCTTGGATTAGAAGGGACCTCAAGGATCATCAGGTTCCAACTCCCTGCCGCAGGCAAGACTGCCAACTGCTAGATTAAGTACTAGATCAGGTTGCCCAGGGTCCCATCCAACCCAGCCTTGAACACCCCCAAAGACAGGGCATCCACAGCCACTCTGAGCAAATAGAGTTCAACAAGACCAAGTGCTGGGTCCTGCACTTTGGTCACAACCACCTTGTGCCAGCACTACAGGCTTAGGACAGAGTGGCTGGAAAGCTGTGCAAAGGAAAAGGATCTGGGGATGTTGATCAACGCTTGGCTGAATATGAGCCAACAGTGTGCCCAGGTGGTCAAGAAAGCCAATGGCATCCTGTCTGGTATCAGAAATAACGTAGCCAGAAGGACAAGAGAGGTGACTGTCCCCACAGACTCAGCTCTGGTGAGGTCGCACTGTGTTGTGTCAAGTTTTAGGCCCCTCACCACAAAAGAAACATCGAGGTCCTGTAGCGTACCCAAAGAAGGGCAGTGAAGCTGGTGAGAAATCTGGAGTACAAGTCTTATGGGAGCGGCTGAGAGAACTGTGATTATATAGTCTGGAGAAGAGGAGGCTCAGGGGAGACCTTATCACACTCTACAACTTCCTGAAAGGAGGTTGTAGCAAGGTGAGGGTTGGCCTCTCTTCCCAGGTAATAACTAGTGATAGGGTGGGAGAGAATGGCCTTAAAATGCTCTAAGGGAGGTTCAAGATAGATGTTTGGAAAAATTCTTCTTAGAAGGGAATGGTCAGGCACTGGAAAAGGCTGCTCTGTCACTAGGCAAAGAACTTGGAGCTGTTCAAGACGTGTAGATGTGGTACTAAGGGACATGATTTAGTGGGCAATATTCATGGTGGGTGGAAAGCTGGACTAGATGATCTTACAGATCTTATCCAACCGTAGTGATTCTATGACTTCACGATATCCACCAAGCATGACATGACAAGAGAAACTTACCAGCCTTTCACCTAAAACTACACAAGCAGAAGAGATCAAATAACTCTTCTAGGAATGACTAGATTTAGAGCTTCTGTTATTCTCCTACCTCTCCTTTTCTTACCGCACCATACTGCCTCTCCAGTTCTAACTGCCTTTAACACATAATACAAGCCAGAAATAAATCTGACAAATATAAGAACAATGTAAGAACTTTAAATATCTCCTTCAATTATAAGTCAAACAATGCTGCACTATTAGTATAATTTAAAAACTTCTTTCCTTTTCACTCTTTAGCTGATATCTCTGTGATAAGGTGATAACTGTGTCAATGATAACATCAATTTCAAGATTCAAGGAAAAGGCATACTCTAACAATTTCAAATTACTTCAAAAGGATTGTTTTCCTACTAAAACAGGACACAAATTACAAACACAAACAGTGAAGCTAGCTAGGCATGAAGTGTTACTGAAAAAAAATGAGAACTGCAAAGGAGATGGTGAAAACATCATCCACCAGCCCTCAGAAGTATTTCTAAAACTTTTTTCAAAAGAGATTTCAATCATCATTTTTCCTTTAATATGCTTCAAATTCCTATCTTTAAGCTCAGAAACTTTTGCATCTAGCTTTTGCCAACAAGATTACCCTTTAATGTCTTCTCTACAACCTGTCCATACACTTCACTAGTCATGAAAGCTGTGGGTTTCATCTCCAGATGCTGAAACCCAGATTTTAGATGGTAAAATCAGTTACCTTTGCCACCATTCACCCGATTGAGCTCATCTGCAGCTCCCTTAACTATAAGAGAAAGCAGTCAAGTACACCAAGTACCTAGCAGGGGCAGGTAACAGCAGTGATGAGGTTGCTAATGGTCCTTAATTTAGTTTAAGTATCACACAGAGATAGACTTCTTGGAAGGCTACTTACTGTTTAGATTAAAGATTTGCTAGTCTTCGAACAGTCAGAATAGATCACATTTATGAATCAGATAATGAAGGGAAGTAACCCTCCCTCAGTCCAAACTGCCCTAGGCTCAGCACTTGTTACCTTCTTGCTTGGCCTGGGGACTTTCTGATTTATTCAAGCATAGCCTTCTACTTTATAGGTGGCAACACCCAAGAACAAAGCCCAAAGGCACCTGTCCTTACAGCAGCTTAATTGCTAATGACTATAGAGAAGAATCTGTGCTAGAAAAAAGTAAGTACAACACAAACTTTTCCCTTGTTGCCCTGGTTCATTGTCTGAAGAATCAAGTCTGCAACCAGGGAACAGCACTACAACATCAAATCAGGAAGATCAGGATTTTTAACTTCCTGTTTTGCACTACTGCAAAAAGTAACAGCAGTGACTCGCTTCATTTCCAGTTAAACTATATTCCTTTATCAAAAAACATCTGTTTAATCTCTAGTCTTGGATTTTTTTTGTTTACATGCTCTAATGAAGACAAATGAAAAAAAAAACCTGAATAAAAAAGACCGCCACAAAGAAATGGAAAACAAGACAACATTCAAAGAATATTCTGAAGCTATGCATACTCTTACCTTAAATCTTTTATCCTGCAGGACTTTCTTAATGGCCACAAGCTCTCCTGAATCACAGAGTTTGGCTTGATACACAACACCAAAGGATCCATTTCCAATCACCTTGGTGTCCGTGTAGCTAACTTCTTGCGGTCGGTCTGGACCTTGTCCAGGAGTTGCCACTACTGTAGTCACCTTGCTGCCATCTTTGTCTCCTGGGAAACAAGAGAGAGAAAAATAATCAGAATATGCTCACAAGCAAGATCACCAAAAAAGAATGAAATAGAAAAGGGCAAGGACTTACATCAGTATATATGTTTTAATATAAGAGAGGAAGAAAAACTTAACCGTCAAAAGGCAGAAAAGCCACTGAGCATGTTTTATTACTGACGCCATTTAGTGCTGACAAGGTTTCAACTTGATCATAAAAAGAAATCTTTCCTTCCAGATGTAAATAACTCAGCAATAAAATCTGCTGTATGACCAGAACAAGTACTTATTTCTGCATCATGTTAAGACAAGTGACATTAAATAGCGTCACTTGTATTTCCTTATATTCTCCTGTAAGGGAAAGAAACAAAGCTGTCAGTAGAGCAGCATGCAGATACATTGATATATATCTGGCAATAAAAAAAAACAGCAGCATGACGAAGTATTTCACTTTCATGCTGTGCAGCAGAGTGCAGACAGGAACCTGCACTCAGGATCCAAAGTAGCTGCATGTGTTTCAGTGCAGATGCAGCAGCTGTGGATTTCAGCTGTCAGCAACCAGCCACTCTTGAGTAACACAGCTGCTTCCCCATAATAAGACAAAACCATTATCACCTACGATAAGAGCCATTTATTACCAGTGTGCTTCCTTAAGTTCAAAATCTGATTTTGCTTGTAACAGGACCAAAGTTTTAGTCATCCTGCAAGTACACATCAGGATTTGTTGTCTTTAAGTTATGATGGTTCGGGTTGCATTATCAAATCAGACTGCAAGAAAAGCCAGAAGGAATCCGCTGTTCAACAGCAATCACTCACCAACACTACATGAGTGAGACTCAAAATGCCCATCACACCTACTTACCAAGTAAGCTCCCTTCCACAGCTACCTCAGAAAGCCCCTTCCAATCCTTCACTACTCACGCATCAAGAAAGATTTTTCTAATACGTAACTCAGGTCACCTCTATTACAGTTAGGCACATCACTAGCTTGACTCCCCATAGGCATGGAAAATAGCATGCAATCCCCTTCCACCTGCCCTCCTCCCACTCCACTCGCAACACATGAAGGACTGCTGCAAAGGACATTACCACCATGAACATGCTACTTTTCTTTCGGGACCTGTCCCACCACTGCTGACGTCTCTCAGGTATGATACCCAAAAGCAGACACACCAGCTTAAGCTTACCTGAGCTCTGCCCAGCATGCTAGCAGCTCCTTGTACCCAACTTGCAACACACTTGTTTGTGCAGCCCGGCACAGCGTTTGCAGCTTTTGCAATATGAGAATCTGGCTGACTCACAGCCTGTTTGGGTGCCAAACCCTTCTGAGCAGAACCACTGCCTGCCAATCACTGTCCCCTTCCATCTTGCACCTGGCTGTTCTCATCATGACCAGAGTCCGCATTTGCCCCAGCTGAACTGCATCCAAGGCTTCCTCACAGTATTCCGTCAGCCTGTCACACACTTTCAATACTGAGTGACCACCAAAAGATGACCCACTTCACAGTGCTACACAGAACTTATCTCAAAAATTGTCAAAAACCAGAGAATCCTGCAAGGCTGCTAGAAGACTGCAGAAACCCTGTAAATATATCATTTTATCTTGAACCCCGTGGTACACTCAAATCACAGAATCACAGAATGGCCAGGGTTGGAAGGGACCTCAAGGATCATCAAGCTCCAACCCGCTGCCACACGCAGGGCCACCAACCTCCACATTTAATACTAGACCAGGCTGCCCAGAGCCCCATCCAACCTGGCCTTGAACACCTCCAGGGACGGGGCATCCACAACCTCTCTGGGCAGCCTGTTCCAGTACCTCACCACTCTCTCTGTAAAGAACTTCCCCCTGACATCCAACCTAAATCTTCCCTCCCTCAACTTAAAACCATTTCCCTTTGTCCTGCAGTTATCAATCCTTTCAAAGAGTTTACTCCCCTCTTGTTTGTAGGCTCCCTTCAGGTACTAAAAGGCTGCAATGAGGTCACCCTGCAGACTACTTTTCTCCAGGCTGAACAAGCCCAGCTCCCTCAGCCTGTCTTTGTAGGGGAGGTGCTCCAACCCCCTGAGCATCTTCATAGCTCTCCTCTGGACCCTTTCCAACATTTTTCTTGTACTGGGGGCTCCAGACCTGGACACAGTACTCCAGATGGGCCTCACAAGAGCAGAGTAGAGGGGGACAGTCACCTCCCTATCCCTGCTGGCCACCCCTCTTTTGATGGAGCCCAGAATACATTTGTTTTCCAAGTTGCAAGAGCACACTGCTGGCTCATGTTAAGCTTTTCATCCATCAAGACCCCCAGGTCCTTCTCTGCAGGGCTGCTCTCAAGGACCGCACCTTCCAGTCTGTAGGGATGCCTGGGATTCCTCCGGCCCAAGTGCAAAACTCTGCACTTTGCTGCGTTGAAACTCATTAGGTTCACTCATGCCCACCTTTCAAGTTCTGTTGAGGTCCCTCTGAATGGCATTCCTTCCTTCCACTGCCAACCACACCACTCAGCTTGGTGTTGTCAGCAAACTTGCTGAGGGTGCACTCGATTCCGTCATCGATGTCATTGATAAAGATGTTAAAGAGCACCGGTCCCAAGACAGATCCCTGGGGGACGCTGCTCATTACCGGCCTCCACCTGGACATAGCGCCATTGATGACCACCCTCTGTCTGCGGCCTTTCAACCAGTTTCTTATCCATTGAGTGGTCCACACATCAAATCCACATCCCTCCGATTTGGAGATAAGGATGTGGTGGGGGACCATGTCAAAGGCCTTGCTCAAGTCCAGGTAAATGACATCGGTCACCTTTCCCTTGTCCACCGATGCCATCACCCCGTCATAGAAGGCCACCAGATTGGTCAAGCATGACCTTCCTCTGGTGAAGCCGTGCTGGCTGTCACGGATCACACGCCCTTTCCTCATGTGACCAAGCATGTCATCCAGGATGATCTGTTCCATCATCTTCCCAGGCACAGAGGTGAGACTCACTGGCCTGTAGTTCCCGGGGTCCTCCTTTCTCCCTTTCTTGTAAATAGGAGTGATGTGACCCTTCCTCCAGTCATCCAGAACCTCACCTGACAGCCACGACTTTTCAAATATGATAAAATATGACAAAATAACCAAACAACTGTGCTCCCCTTTAAGGGGATTTCTAGCGGTCCGTTCCTTTCCTAAGCTGCTCATGGGAAAATGAACTTCAAAATGTCTAAGTCAAGACACACATCTGCTATTACTTTTGCATCCACAAATGCAGAAAAACGAGTGGGTTGGTTTGCCATTATGGATGGCTCCTGAAAAATTTATATTAACTGTTGTTACTCATCCCTTACCTTTCACGTCTTTACAAACTGTTTGCTTTTATGCATCCAACTGCTCCATGAAACAAACAAATTTAAAAAGAAGTAAAGAACATTACTGCAAAAGATGACAATTACTTGCCAAACAATGCACAGCAGATATATATAGATTCCTTTTTCCAAAATATTCACAAGGTGAGAAGCAGATTTACACATCTGAAGAGAAAGCAGCAAAGCAACAAAAAGCAAAAAAGGGAAAAAGGGATAAACATCTGCTCAGAGAAAAAGGAGAATAAAGGGAAAGCAGAGTAAAATCGCATGGAAAATTAACCCTCCTCTTTGATAGCTTTAAGAAATACGTGGATGGAAGCCAAGAAGAACTCTGATTTTTTTTTTTTTGTAAACAAAATGAAAGTGTAATTCTGATAGCAGTCTTCCACTTCTATTTGCCTGACTTTCTCTGATGAACATTCCAACTAAGCATATATGAATAGGTGACATTTACGTCCCTGTCATCTAATAAGTAAATAAACCTTCTGCTTTCCCACCTCTTTTTTTTCAGGCTTGGTCACAAGGTTGGGGTTTTGAGATTACAAGTAATGAGGCTCATTCCCAGCCCTCCCAAAGCCAGGTTCTAGAGGTAGAAGGAAACTCATCTCTGGCAATTCCCACTGAAATGTGAAGTGCTTAGCCTCAGGAGAGCTGCTTAAGGGACACTCCAGAGTTAGAAGCTACTTTGGGATCTCCTGGACCACAAGAGCAAGCCCTGAGTTTTCTCACTTGGCTCTATTGCAGCTTTTCCAGAACTCCAATGAGAACTTTCATGATGTTTCCTTTAAGCACAAGTAAAAACAACTCCTAACTAAACTCATTAAAAATACTTAGCGCTTCAAAACATAAGCACTGACATTAATTGGCTAACCAAAGAATTGCTTGGTTTCCTTACCAGCACGTTACAGAGCATTAAGCCCCCTAGATGTTTCTCTCCATTTCCTTCTTCCAGTGAAGCACAGTAAGGACTCCAAACTTTCAAAAATAACCCTGCTGGAGTTTCAGCTGTATTACATTAGAGAATATCTGAAGCTTAATCACTGGGACGTTAAATTCACCCTGTGCTTTTGACAGCTTTGATCTCAAACAGCAAAAGTCTCGTTACTTCTCCAAGCATACAAATAATAGGTGCTTGTATCACAGCAGCATCCAGGAGCCCCAAGCCAGTTTTGCCACTCATGCACACAGTGTTCAGAAGCCTATACCCGGTTCAGCATGTATGTCAATTCTTAATGTCTGGACAGCAAGAATTAACTTGTCAGCCAAACAACATATAAATGAGTTTGCTGGAACAACTCTGGGAAATATGGCTTTAGCCCCAGTGTGACAAAAGCTGGTGGAGAGGAAACACCCTTCTCCAGCAATCTTCACTATCTCCAAATTGAGATTCCCAACAGCAAACACCAGGAAACATCACACCACAGCAAGTCTCAACCCGAAGCTGAGACAGTTTTCATCTCATCTGTTTTGCCTCTTACTGGGTTTCAGGCTGTCAGACTCGGTGGCCTCACTGGCTAGGTGAGCACAATGTTCTCAACACCTTGGACTGCAGAAGGTCTTCAAGATTAACTCGAAAATATAAGGAAGGAAGAAAGGACCAAACACCAAAATACTACAGCTCTTAAAGCTCACATCAAATCTGCTTCAACTGTTCCAGCAAGCTGAT